ATTTCTTATTGCTGTCCTTTGCAAAGCAGAAATATCTTTTGGCTATACTCAATCAATATTCGTACATCTATTCTTCAGCACCACAAAGCTCAACGGAAAGGCGCCCACCTATATGTGGGGCATTTGCAGATTTGGAACACTGCTTGCTGAGGTCTGCAATGTGCTGCTCCGCTTCAAATCTGTATTGGAGTGTTTCTGTTCCAATATATTCCCAAATGCTTTTTGCCTTATTATTCTCTTGATCTGGAAGCACTGACTAAACACGTGGTAATCGCGCTGGTCCAGTTTGAAGGAAAATTAACTGCATGGTACAAGTGGCAGAGGAAGGAAGTACGACACCAGCTCTATGAAGAATCTGTACTGCCATTTAAGTGTGTGGTTGTATTCGACTTGAGGAATGCAATTGCAGAAGCAATGTACTGAAGCTTATATTGCTGTTGTCTTATGTTGTGCAGATTTGTCCCTATTTATCTAAACTTGCTTAGGCTGAGAAATATATGTGCTGCTTTTATGAATATCTCTCAAGTTGCCACACCTACATCCTGTTGACCTACGCGTGTTGCTTTCTGTGCAGGAAATGGACCTTGATCTGGATGGCACTGAAGTGCATCCATTATGGAGACGCGATACAAAGCATGGATTTGATGTTGCTTTGGCCAGGCTTGCACGAACAGCAAATTTGCACAACAACAGTGTCCACATACTGAGAGAGGATGAATCAGATACTTGTGTTTATCCAAGCAAAAATTTGATCATTCTGGGGTGGGGAAGGATATGCCAGGAACACGATGGTGCCGCAAAAGTATTCAATACAACTGGGCTACAACAGCGAGATGTAAAAGTTGTGGACCAGAGTGTTTGCAACATTAGCAGCAATGAGGACTACAAGATTTGCACCAACGGCAATGACCCAAATGCATGCACAGGTGAGTCTGTCATTATTCAGAGCAATTTAATTCTGCAACAAATGGTTAATATTGTTGTCCTTCTCCCAAAGTTTTCAACACCATTGTGGGATATGCTTTCTCCATCCCATAGCAAATGTCCCTGATGACTTACAGTGTAAAGTCATGACCCTTATCACATTAAAGTATAAAGTCACGTCCCTTACCACGTTACAGTGTAAAGCTTGCATCAATGTTTTTGCATTGAGCTTGATCCAGAGCGTACAAATTCGATTGCGTTCGTAGTTGTCAATTTGGAGAATGGTTTACAAACGTCCCAATGTTGGTCATGGAGAATTCCAACACTACTTCGCCTGAAGATTGGCGCACTCATCTTTTTGAGGCAGGGCCGCTATAACTGCTTCTTAAAGGTTTGATCGTCCACTGTCATCTATTATTCTACTTCAGCGTCGATTGTCATCTATCGGATTGATTTCAAATTTGCGTTGAGCCGCTTTGGGTTTTTTCCGCACTGTTTTTTTCAATCTCGTTGTGTGTTTGAAGCATCAGTATTCAATTCATGTAAAGATATGGCATTTGCAAATGTGGGGATTTGTTATGGGACACGGGAAGGACTGTATTTACCCGGTGTCAGTATATGCATATTGGACTTTAAAAATGAGCAGTGCACACTCACATGTATTGGGTCATGGATACTGACGGAATTCAGCAACCGATCCAAGGAGCAGACAAATATTTTTAGAAATTAGACTGCGCACTACCAGAAACGCTTTTGAAATAATGCAAAACGCAGTGAATACAAACTATGTGCCTGGCAAGCCAAGTTGCACGTATTGAAGTGATGAGATGTGCTTTTCAATCGTTGCTGCACTACTGGGGGCCGCGTTGACCTGGCCCCGTTTGTCCGTAACTTGAAGAAACTACCCATTTCCGTGTTTTCCCCCGGCTGCGATGGAAATCAATGACATAGCGCTGATGTGGCATGGACAGAAACGGAAAGGGTCAGGTGCAAATCTGACGTGGCATGGAAAGCACGGAAAAGCACAAAACACCACAGGAAAAATAAGGCCTTCACAGAAGTCTGCGTGATCCAAAGGGCGGCACACAAATTGGGCACGAGCTCACTAGCCAGCTCACAGCCGTCCACAAATACCGAGGAAAGACAAACAAATCAACCAAAAATGAGTTAAATTGTTGAAACATGATTTTTGCATTTGTGTTTTTCGGTGCCTATGTTCTTGTTGCCAACCCTCCTATGCTCTTATGTGCCTATGTGCGCCTATGTGTGTCCTTGTGCGTGTCCGCGTGGGCCAATGTTTTTGCTTCCATGTGTCTTCTTGTTTCTGAGCCTTCCCATGCCTCTGAATCTATCTGTGCCTCGGCGTCATTTCCCGGCTCGTCGTCTGCCACCTTAACTGGCCCCTTCGCAAAATTGACAGAGGAGAAGGCGAAGCTCGCTAAGCTTCACCTTCGCCCTTTCAAAATTTTGACAAAGTGCCAGAGCCGCCCAATAAATTGCACAGAAACTAACACCAAACACTGGACAATTTGGAAACGAAAGTCCACCACGGATGGCGGTGGAGTGTGCAAAAGTGCAATGGAACACAAGGCCCTTCGCATAATTCGCCATCCAAGAAATGGCCCCTCCACATACAAAAATCAACTGAAGGAAAAACACGAAGCTGCTGTTGCACAAAAAGCCACGGAGGGCAGCGCCTATAACAGTAAAAAAGACACATGCAAAAACATGGTTCGGACCACAACCACAACTACAACCACAGCGACCACAAACAAAATGACGTGGAACATACTGGGTGGAACCTTTAGTGCTGCAGAGGCCAGCACTGGCTGGCCACGCTAATGTGGCTGCCATAGAGAAGTGCGCCGTGGCAAAATTTTTGATAGGAACAGGCAATGCTGGCATGTCTGCGCACGACTCTAGGCTTGTCACTGTGTCGTAGACGCTTGGCCTGCAGTCTCTTGACATGCAAGCAATTTTTACAACCAATCAGACCAGCCACTCAATATGCGAGGCTTGCAGCCGTCACATGCATCGAATTGGCACTACAAGGTGAGCAGTTCAGTGTAGATATTGCACGTTTAAAACGTGCATAAAATGTGATGAGCAAGCGAAGACGTGCAGACCAGCTTCCTCTCTTCAAGATAGATCCAACGAGCCCTCTTGAGCTCGCTTCCGTTGAGCTTGGGAGTGGATATTGACACTGGGCCGTGGGGGTCTAACGCAGTTTTACCCTCTAAAGAGGGGGGTGGATACTAATGGGGCTGGGTACTAACACCATGTGGTAGTAAATGTAAGTCGGTCTCGCAAATTGTGCTGGATGAGTACACGAGCTTTTGGAACACAAAGCACGCACGCAATACATATGCGAAGATGACATGATGTCCCACCAGCAAAACGTTGCTCATTTTGTGCAGTTCAATCATTGTGCATACATTTCAAATGCTGAAATGATGTGCTACAAATTCATTTACATTTTAAGCAGCACCAACTTGCAGATTCTAATCAACTTTAATCAGCTTAAGAAAAATTTACAGTTACGATATTGTGTCCATGCCAGCCGTTGACAAGAGCGGTGCTTGATGACAGCACAACTCTGCAAATGGAGGAATTGACTGCCTTCGAACTATTTGGTGAATCAGGTGGCGTTGCTGCAATTTTCTAGAGCTCAATGCACACAATGCAACAGCAGTGGATCAAATATTTTTAGATTGTAGGCATCTAACTGTTCTAAAGCGTGCGTGTCAGCCTTGTGGGTTAATTTTTCATCGCTCTAGGATTGGAGTCAAATATCTTTCGCACTTGGAGGTTGGCTGCCAAAAATTCGAAACATTGTGCCTTTTTGCTTAAAAGTCCAGCAAATAAGGTACTGCAATAGTCCTCAATGGGCATTTCAGGAGCACCAACTATTGCATCGATAAAATGAATGAATGAAAGATATCCAATTACATGCTGACCAGTACAATGTACCAGTGTCCCCTGCACAGCGCTTATACACATTGTGATGTCGTGCGTCGCTGCTAATGCCCTCTGTTTACCATTCAGTCACTCAGGACCAGATGTTAGTTGTTCCACCACACACCCCATCCCCATCCTATAGAGCGACCCAAAGACAACTTGGCCTTACATTCCTTTTTGCGAACCACCCCCACGGCACACAGATCCAGTCAGCAGCTAGCCTGCCCAATGCTTGCCAGCAGACTGCAAATGGGTAAATAAGTTGAATATCAGAATCGCAATATTGCAACTCCTTTCTCAGCTCGATTTCCCCCAAAGGTTTCTTTACACCCTTTTACACTTTCGAATGCGTGAATCTTTCACTAACCATTGGCTTTCTTCAGCCCATGTCACAGATGCGTTTTGCTGGAAACTTTCTGGCAATTAGAATATGAATGGTCTATCTTTCCAGTTGAGAGTAACCCCAATGTTTATATACGTTGAAGTACAATACTGTGTTTACTGTGTGTCCCAAGCGCGTTTCATAATGATTCAAAGGATCTTGCTTGTGCAAACTAAGCTAATGTGTATGTGCATTCTGACATCCATTAACAGTCTATGTCATCAACAACGCAGACTGGAACGACCAGACACACAATTGTTGATGTTGGTGGTCTTGGGTGGGTGTGGTAAAGGAGAATACCCAACATTGCTACTGACCAGATTGCAAATTGCAGTTCATACCAGAACAGTATCAGGCAAGAATATTTGTCTGATGATGGCGAGTAGTGCTTGTGGTCTGTGAGCAAATACAAGTCATGCTTGGCATTGGGTGTAGGTGATTATATTATATGGGTGTAGGTGACCAGCGATTGGTTTTTCTCAAATTGCCAAAGTGCACACTAAGTCCCACGTACGATCTCTGCCTTGCCTCCTCAACAGAACCCAGTCTGCATCTTCTACGTTGCCCCTGCCGCAGACAACAATAGTGAATGCTTCTTTGCCAGAGTATTGCAACCTTCTCAAGGTCAAAAATCTTGTAGCCTGCGATCTGCAATTCTGTTTCTGGCTCAGGAATGGAGAGTCGCGTACTTTTGCAATGCTGTGAATGTTTGAATCCAAATGCACTACCTTGACAGGTGACTCAGGTGGACCACTTGTGGAAAGAGGCAAATCTGCAAAAAGCGATAGGGTCGTGGGCATAATTTCGCAAGGAAATGTTTGTTGCAAAACTCCGCCGCCGGACACCTACCGTACCATTTGCACTCATCTTGGCCACAAGAATATCTCGACGTGGATCTCTGAAAAACTGAAGGTACTTTGCACATGTGCAACGGATTTTGTGTTCATAATGCTGCTTAATCAAAAGGCCGTGACAGCAAATTCGAATACCTTTGAGATCCAGCCATTCTGCCACGTGGAGATGTGCTCAGCGTCTCCAAGTACTTTGTGTTCAGGGTAAATTAAGAGTGCAGTTGTATGTTGGGCATTATGTCAGGACGTGGTAATGATTATTGACACCAGGTTGTAATTCGCATAACAGAAATGTGAACATGCTGTGGCCGTCAGCAGAATTTTGCGTGTGCAGTTCTGCTGAGTGCCAAAATATGGGAGCTGTACAGCAACTGCTTTCTGTAGCAGAACTTGACCTGAGGGTCTGCCTCAACGGTGTCTGGCAATAAGAACATCAAAATAATAGATGAACGGCGTTGCCTATGACAATGACTGGACTATGATCACCTGGAATGTAGTATACAGAAGAAGTTCAGTGCCCCTCCCAATGCGATTGTGCGGACTGGCCATCCAACAAAATTTTACGTATATATATTATGCATAAGAGCCCTTACATTTCAAATCCGTTGGAATCAATCATCATGATGCTGTTGTGTGGGATCATCATCAATGCGTCTTCAGCGTTTCATGCACAGCCTGTTTTTGAGGTTGTTAGCAGATTTGATTCAAGTCATGCAGCGACATTTTGCTTCTTTCGCCAAAAGCGGGGATTTGGGCCCTCGGGAGCTCAATGCATTGTCATTGCACCACGTTCGGCAGTGCAACGCATAGCTGAATGTTCGAAACCTTGGGTGAGGTGGAGCCATGAGCAAGAAAGATTAAACCGAGTGCACGCTATGATTACATTTCAAGCCAGTGTATGTTGTGCAATTGTTGTCTGCCAGTCTGTTGGCGCTGTTTGGCATGCCTTATGATTGTGACGTAAATCGGACGTTATTTTACGATCGTGGTTGAGTTTGAAATGCTGGCTCAGATCACCAACACGCAGTACTCGTTTAAAATGTAAATGTCGTTCCAATGATTGCTGTCCCAGTCTTGCAGCACCAATTCTGGTGACTGTACTTGATATCCAGAGTTTGCATTGGCTCAGGGATATCGGTTTGGCGTGGAAATTTCTGAATGCATCCTTTTGTAAATTTCGATCCGTGCACAGGATGGGTGTTTGCAGTAAGCGCGTTTTCGCTGTCGCCTCAGATAGTCTGTGGCGTAGAAATTTTTTGCTGCCTTACTCCCAAAGCCATGCTCGACTTAGACATGCTGCACTATTTCTTCTGCAGATCGACTCCGTTCCACACCAAATTGGATTGATTGTTAAATGTGAGGTCGATATGGATCTTGATTACCTAATCATCACCATTAATAGGTTTATAAAAACGACTCCATTTAATTCCATGCGGGCTCCCAATTCCTCAATTTCTGCATTGGCCTTTTTCCGTTGTGTCCCAACAGTTTCTCCAAAACTGATGAAGTACAGTACGTGGACAACGAATAAGCGTTACTGCTCCCTTTCAAGAATTTTGGCGTAATAGGTATTTCCCTCTTTCTGGATAATTCCTTCCACTGTGCCTAATCATGCTTTCGAAATCCGTGTTTTCAACGAGTTGCCGTGTTTGCATCCGTAGAGGTTGGAGTCAGTATGTAGGGCCTTCTAAGCCTGTCAAATCAACGCACAGGTCAGTTCTTCTCTTGGCTTTCCCCCAAAAGCCTTCGTGTGGTTCTTTTCAACACCTCCACTTTGTGAATTTTGTTGGAACCGAACCGCATCTTCTGTGCGCACCAAAGCACTAACCATATTTCTCTTCTAACGGAAGTTGGGCCTGATCTGCCCTATATGAAGGGAAAAACGAGCTTGCTGTATTCCGCTCAGTGCCCCGACATAAGGCAAAGCCATATTCAGCTCGTTTCGGTACATGGCAGAAAGAAACGGTGGCGCCATTTGAATGTTTGAAATTTCTACAGACGACGCTTCCAAGCTGTGTTGTCCAATATTTCTGCCTTGCATGCTGTGTTCTCCATTTTCTCACTTAGTGATCGGACACGAGTTTCGGAGCTGATATAGTGAACGCAGTTTCTAGTCCATCATATAAGTCTAAAGTTTTGGAAGTCTTTTCTTTTGCTGATATTGCCATTGCACGTTGTATATTGTAGGGAGAAGGGTCCACGACTGGATGTGCAGCATTTCCTTGGCTTTTTCGAGTTGCCGATGACGATGGCACATTCAAATGCCTTGGTGTGCTCGTCCACAAGCGTCTGGTGTTGGTCAGGGCCGATTGTGGGGATCCTCATGATGATTTGATTGTTGTGTATGATGACCCAAAACAGCAGTGCGCACAACAGGTAGATGCCGTTGCAATTTGGATGTGATGATCTGTTCACTCCATTTGGCGCTGCATCTTTTGTTCTTAACACTGTTTGCTTTTGTGAATGCACCTGCTTGTACAGGCATATACACAAACAAAAAATTCACATTCAAAAATGTCTCTAACCATCGTGTCTGCTTGCTGGGCGAGTTTTGTTTTTCTGAGCTTAGGCAACCTAATTGCCGGCAAATACCTCGATAATGTATTATGGTAATAAGAGGGTCAGAATTGGATTGACTGTGAATTATTTGGCTGTGGAACTACATGCTTTTGTGTTAATCATCTACTTTAGATTTTGTTACTGGGGTTGAATGCCACCGAGCACCGCTGAGATCATATTTGCACGTTTTGCTCACTTGGCGGCGTCAATTGTGTGAATTTGGAACATTAGTCATTTTTCAATGCCATGGTTTTGACGTAAGGTCATTGGCGTCACCCGGGCTAATTTTTTGCACCCACCGAATGCCGTCTGCTGCCACGCTTTGCGCTAGAGGTGCCGCTGGACGCCATTGCTTTGGAACGAGTATCGTTGATTGCCGGGCAGAAGAGCGGGCAAGGCCTCTCTCCACACATGGCGTTAATCATTGCGCGCAAGAGAGAAAAGATATGGGAAGGGGATCTGCGCATCCCATTTCCGCAGCTTCAGACCAATGCTGGCGCCGGTTGCAGCCAATCTGAGGGGTCTCGATTGGCGCCCACGAATAGCCAAGATCAGCCCCCACGATGGGCCAAAATTGACAATGAAAGTGGACAAAACGGGGCGTTTGAGCCGTGGGTTCGTGCGCCAGACGATGTGCAAAATAGATGTGGGATTGGGGTGCGAACAATGCTTCACCACTCCCGAGGTTTTGATCCCTCGTGAGCAGGGCATTTGCGAGTGGTGATCGGCGCCCTTGAGGGAGCAAAAGCAATCAAGTGTACCGGTGTCGTAGGTGCCCAGAGGCAGGCGCACATGGCAAACGCGGAACAAATAGCGGCGGGAGTGGGGAGGGAGTTACCTCGTGTTCGAGCACGCTTTCCCACCTCCCTGGCTTCCAAGCCCCATGCTCCCCCTCACCTTCAATATCCTGCCTCACACCTGCACCGCTCCGTGCTCAGAATTTGAGTCTCAATACCCGTTGTCTCACCAATTTTGCAGGGAGCAACGTGGTACTCCTCCCACGCCTCACCGCGGCTCACTTTTGTCCCCAGATGCCTCCCACCCGCCCTCTACTACGCCTCCTCCTCTCTGCCCGGCAAAATTGGGTCTCAATCGCCAGTTCGATCGCTGGCTAAGCTCCAAATGTCGGGTCTAGGCGGATACTTGCATTGGGCACCAGTGTGTGGCCGGGACAGGCTCACATATGTTGACGGTGTGTCTCGATGTGCACCATGCGCACACATCGCCTGACGGTGACCAGATTCTGGCTCATCAACAGCACTTTACACGTGCATGCAAGGCTCAAAGGTCGGAAATGTCGTCCAATGCTGGAATCCCATAAAATAGTGCTTTGGGCCCCGCTTGCCGTGAGCACGTGCGTTCAAGTGCTGGTGGGTCTACGGCGGCGCCGTGTCAGCAGCTACTGGCATCACATCCATTGTTCCAATGGCAAAGTGGGTTCATTAGTAGACCTATTACGAACCCACCGTCCATACTCTCTCGTGTCACAGGTGCCGTTAAATGACAGCCTGTAACACCGACCTCTAAAATGTGCATGTTACCGTGACAGCGAATGGTTGGGGCTACAATTGTGTGCTCATATTGCTGCTCCAATCATCATGAAATTCCATTAACTGTATGTTAGTCACCGAATGCTAACATGCCAGCTGACCACCCATGTACAGTAATTCCGTTGTTTGTCCCAGCGCTTGTCTCACACGTGTGCTGATTATCCGCGTCTACATGTCATACAAATCAACCAAACGAAACGCAATTTTTCGCATCTCACCACAACCGCCCCGCTCTCCTCACCACCGCCATAAGACAATGCCGTCGAGCAGGGTGGGTATAAGGCGTTGTTTAAGATTGGGGCCCCTCCTTTGATTGAATTTGCAGAGCGGGTAATGGGTTGGGCGGCCAAGGCATGCGTAAATACAGTAGATGAGATACGACAAATTGCTTGGGTAGCTCTGTTCGAACAAGGCTACCACACAAATTCGTGTGACATGGGCCTATTGCCTGAGTCATTAGTTTAGGGAACGGAGTTATTGGGTCTGGACTCAAACAGAGAATAGCCTATGAGCTTCGTACAAGCATGTGAAGCCCCGGCATGTGCTCGTATTTTCAAATTGAATGGAGTTTTGACTGTGCCAATCTCGGCAAGGTCTATTTTGTATACACGTTTTTGAGCTGATATCTGTTTGCATCTCTTGAGGACACTAAACAGGGCTCCAGCTTTGATATGTTGCCTTGCTCATGTCCTACACATTGCACAGATCATCTCTCCATCTATTATCCCACTCCCCTCAAAACCAAGGTGAACGTCCCTTGCTACATACACTGTTGATGCCAAGATGCCATGCAAACACCATCTTGGACATTTTGGGGAAAATGAATGAAAGATCTTTCGATTCGCGGGTGCATGTATGTGAATGAACCCTGTAAAAAAGACCCCTACTGCATAATGTGGTATTCTACCATGGAACCACAAAGACGTAATGTCATGCATTCCCTATAATTCCAAACGTACTGTGGTACCTAGGGGCCAACAGTCTAAGTTTGGCCCAGTGAGTTGTTCCTAAATTCTCACACTCAAATCGCAGTCCCAACTGAGCTTAGCCCAGGCCAGCCTCACACCACGCAGCCCTTCATTTACATATTGAAAATGCATTCGCTTTCGTACGTGTAGACACTGTTATTGGTATGACAGGTATCATGAAATTGCATTTTCAATGAAGCGGTACGAAGTGGGAATGCTTGCAGTGGGAAGACGGTGGCAGTTTGGGAGGCCACCAACTTCAAACTTCCAAACTGACTGTGTTCATTGTCAAAATGTTTGCCGTCAATCCCTCTTGAAGTTTGGCTCGTTATCCACCCATGCATGTCCATTGAATGGCCATGCATGTAGCTTTCGCCCCTCTTTCGCGTCTTTACATTACGTACTTACACACCATGCGTGTGATGCAGAAAATGGAGGTGGTAAAGGTAATCGCCAACCCAGCAAATGGCACGGAGTTTGGATATCAGGTGGCGCTCCTGAAGCTCAGCAGCGCAATCGACTGTCAACCTGCCTCTCTCGCTGATGCATCATATGAAAATGTTACAACTTTCATTGGTGCCGAACTCGGCGATAAGGGACATCAAACCTCTCCCATGTATGACAGAACCATTTCCAGAGCTTGTCAATTGGACGACTCGACGCAAATCCTGTGTGTCGTCTCAGAAAAAGGAAAATGCCCAGGTGAGAATTATGATTTCATACAGGACATCCATCACCCAATTCAGTACATTATTGTATTCTCTTTGTTTTTGCATTCAATGTTTCCGTTACGGTTAGCAAAGTCAACAGTTTTCAGAATTTTGTTTTGCATTGGTGCGGCGATCAGCGCATTTGTACTGACAGTGATAAATATGTGCTTCAGTCATTGCGGTGCCAATGTGCAGATTATAACATAGGACAAAGAGACGGGCCAGAGGGAGTAATCATCATTCCACGTCATTTACATAAGGCAGCCGATGGAAACGATGTCGTGGCAGGACTGTACAATGGGACTTGCTTGGAAGGCCACATGAGGAGCAGTATGCCATTCTACAGCACAGCCTTGCTTAATGCATGGTTGGAAAATGAAGTTAAGGTAAGCGCCTGCTCTCCTCCGAAGATAATGGAATGCGGTACAAAATATTAGCAGCTGAAAATGGAGCAACGAAGTATATTTGCTTGCAAGGCGTTTGGTGGGGCTCGAATTAAATTTCCATAGAAGATAGTTGCATGCAGGATGTGTTTGTCCTGTTCCAGAAGAGCAGCGCCAGCTGGACTAAGGTGGGCGCTGCCAACCGTTATTTCATGGGGTCACGACCCAAGTCAATGCTGTTAGAATGCACCACAAATTTAGAAGGCCAACGCTTTGACATAGGAGGGTAATTATGGTGGCTTTTTTTGGCTACTGGTGCAAAAGTGGGCATTGGACTATTGAGAACTGCACCCTCCGTGGGGCTTCTAGACATGTCGGCCAACGACAATCCACGGTGAATTCCGAGGTATCGTTGCATTCGACAGCTCATTCTGAGGGCACACCACACATAACGGCATGTACGATCTGCGCAAATTATGTCCGCCTAGTGTGATGCACTATTTAGACCAGTAGTATCAGTGGCTTGCGGAAAGTCTGTGAATCGATGGACAGACTCCGCTCCACCCGTCCCAGGGGTGCGCTACAGGGGCTTGCTACAGGAGCTCCCTCCAGGGGCCCGCCCACTGGTGGACACAAACGAACGTATTTTGGTGTTCACGTTCCATTTAGGATGAGGCATGAAGAAGACGTGAACGGCGTGCTCATGTTTCAGTTTTGGAAGCTCAAACGTAGAGTACAATTTTTTTGTTGCCGTTTTGAAAATCCAAACGTACATCACAGGTTTGCGTTCTGGAAATCTAAACGGGGTTGCCTACATGTGCTTCTCCATTTGAGTGGCATATACACACAACTAGCACCAAGCGATGTATAGTGCACTTGGCTGACTGTGGTGGCCTGTCCTCTGAAAAGAAATAGGCAAATATGAACAAATTCGCTGTTTATCGATGATGCTCACCTGCTGGTCTCTCTCCATCCCAATGGAAACGTAAACTTTGCCCCCAACGTTTTCGTTAAGGGTCCAACGACAGAAACGTGTAATATTACACTGGATTAATCCGTGTCTACTTTTCTGCTTTTGAGACCCGAACGTACTGGGCATGTTCACATTTCCATTTCCAAAATCCAGGTGTACAGTAGACGTCCTTGTTTCTGCATCAGAGACTTCAACGCTGTGCACACGTCTGTGTTTCGTTTCAATGGCGTACACCCACGTCTAATGTGTTCACAACCGCAAATTACACAGCTTGCAATATCGATTGAACTACAAATGGTCTTTGCGTAGAGTGCTCGATAGACGTGACCACATCCACTAATGCAAATTTTGCGAAGAGGTACAGGGCCAACAAAATAAACCATGTATCGCATGACCATCTTAAGCCCAAGGGTGGGCAGGCGCAAAGATGGCCAGAGGATGTACAAGAAAATTCCTTGGATAAGCATGTGAGAGAGAAGTGCGTTTTCATCACCGTTTTGACCCACTGCTGGCGCCAATCGCGGATGCCTGTACTTTCCTGTCAAAGTCACTTGAGCTAGTCACATTACTGCCAGAAAAAGGCTCAAGCCGTGGGGGCAGGAGCTATTGATGGCTCCCAAATTCCCTTGTCTTTTCCCACGCCTTTAGTATGTGCACCTGCGGACCAGGCCCCACATAGTGCCAATTCCCTCAGAGGAGTTTTTCATATCCCGGACACGTTTTTTGATATGTGGGTACCCGATAGCCAGGATATCGAATGTCATGTGAGCGCCGTGGATATTGCAAGGATATGGGTGACGACATTGCCATGTCCCAAGATATGCAGCTTTTGTCTCGCATGTGTCCCAGTTTCGCCATCACGAGGGTGCCAAATGTAGCTTTCACAGATGCTAGGCACATGCTTATAACGTGCCTTCGAGGTCAAGGCAGCGAATGGGAAGAGGTGACTCTCGCCACTCTCGCTGCCTTTTCACGTCGCGTTAGAAATGTGTCCGACGCCTTGGGCAGGCTTGGTTTTTGCGGCATAAACACTTTTCAATTTATGGCTATCTACACGTAAATTTCTTTTCACATTTTTATGCAGAAGTAAAAGTAAAAATTGCGTAATACTGGGCCCTTTGTACTTAAAGACGGAGCATACCGACTCAGGGAGTCCAGGGAGTGGCAAATGGACGCACTGAAATGTGCAGAGAATACCTTCTCTTGGCAAAGGCGTTGCCCATGCTGAGGGTGAGATGGGCGCTGTGCTGGCAGTGCCGGAAGGGGAGGAGAATTGATTCTGATTGGTACATCATTTTATAATATGGGCGTGCCAACGAGCCGTAAATACGCGTAAACATGGCAGTAGAAGATTGCGTTTTGTATATTTACGTGCTTTGCATGTAAAACGTAAATGCAACAATGGAACCGTAATCATAAGACCAAACCTGGCTATGGGCGCCCTACGGCAATGATTTCCTTTCCCAATTTCGTCCATTCGAAAGTGCCGATCTTTGCCATCCGTGGGTGCCAGTCGAGAAACCCTGGTTTGGCAGCAACTGACGCCCACGATGGGCCAAGACCACAAAAGCGTGAAGTGCAATTTTCTCTCCTCAAGAAGCTTTGTCTCGCTTGGTGCGCATTGTCGTAGGCCGCGCTCATCCTTTTCTTAGCAAGCAATGTCCCTTGCCCTGAAAATATGGCAGCCAACGGCTGCATGCCAAGTGAATAGCAGGAGGTGAGAAAAATGTCGAGCTGGGTTGCGCTGCATGGCGCTCACTCAGGCAACGGTGGACTACTGCCTCCATTGGTGCGCAATTACCGTCGAAATAAGAGACAAATGGGCACTATGGTGACAGCTGGCATCCAGATTGGCTCCAGCACTTTGCAAAGTCTCAGACAATAGCGGCCTTCACCAACACATACAATTTATCTGAACGAATCATGTAATGTGAGCCGTATGCTATACAATCTCGTCACTTATTCTATTAGGTCCGAAGTGTATGCCCTGCTTTTGTTAAATCAGTCCTGGTCACCATGTTTAGCAAATTCTGCAGCCGGGAGTCGATGAATAGCAACACGTTGCACAAAGTGCACTGGCGACTATTTGCTACAACAAACCTCGAAGTGTTGACTGAAGTGCATTGAATTGCAGTGTAAGAAACCGGCACATCAAAACTCGGCGAATTCCACTAGTAACAATACCTCGGTTCCAAAAGTCTTGTTCGACCTCCAATTTGCACAAACGTAGCTCAAAATGAGCTTGCTTTGGCTCTCTCGAAAGTGTCAGCATTGACCAAAGCATTTTAACGCGCTGTATTGACATAATACGCTGTAATGTATATCTCAATCTGAGAGGGGAGCTTGGTGGTTTGGTGTGCGATAAAGACGCGGCTCGATTTGCAAGCAGAGTCTGTCGCGAAAATATGAGAGGTAAACGGAGACTTTGGCGTGCGAGCAGCAACCGCACAGAGGTTGTGGTCATAAGTCAAGAGGCACCTCGATAAGTGCAAGAGTATCTACCTGGCAAACTCGCCAAGGCTGGGAAGACTGAGCATAGTGGCTCCAACTAAAAAGACAGTTTAGATTTGGGTAACACGGCCAATCCCGAAAACAGAATTTTGGAAACATGAGTCAGCACACTGGAAGAGACAATCCACAAGGCGCATGATGCCCATGATGTCGAAACTCCTGATAAGTAGCGGTGTCCATTTGTTGTCTACAACAAGGATCTGCATGAATTTGGCGAAGTGGGTTGGGGCATTCCGCAACAATGCGGAGAATTGAAGGTGCGCATGGAGCTAGACAGGGTCACATCTGATAAGGTTGAAATGCCCTGTTGTGTGGCGATGGATAATGGAAATTGAGATCTGCATCATTGATGCTACATCAAACTAAAATCAATCACAGAGTCGGAATCTGATGATGGATTGATCGATTGAGTTGATCTTCCAAAGTTAACAATAAATTTGGATATTGGATATGAACATTGCAACCGATTTAGTATGGTGGAATGACAGATTGCTAAACGACTGTTTACAAGCAGCGCCAATGATGAACGGCAAACTTGACCCAGGTGCAGCAGGGTCTTATCTGTCTCCTGTGTATTCCATGCGTCACATGTGAAATTGAAATCATGGAAAGGACAATTACTGCATTAAGAAAGGTCCAAGAATGGAAATCAAAAAGACGGGTCGAAGATTTTTCTACCAATTCTTACACATGATGGTAGTGCCTTTCATACTGCGTTTCGGCGGCCCTCAGCCTCTTACCCTGCTTGGTGCGACCCACACACATTTGGAACCCAAGCTTTCAAGGTGCGCATTTGTCAATTGAGAAACATGAGACAAGTTAGTCAGCTGTGCTGTGAACTAATCAGTTTCTCCTTGCCATGTAATATATCTATCTTTGATCAAGGTTTTCCAAGGTGGTTGCCCGAACTAACGGATATACAGTCATGACACAATCTTCGCATGTAAATAGCATTGTGTGCAACGCGAACTCGATAAAGGAATAGAATAAAAGACAATGGAAAACATTTGTGCTGTTTTCAGGGACGAAATGTGGAAGCGTGTGGACGCTATCCTTACATGGCATCAGTGCGCAATGCTGACAATGCGCATGGATGTAGTGGTGTTCTTGTTGCGCCCGACTGGGTGCTTGCCGCAGCTCATTGCATGGATGGGAATGGCCAGAGCTCCGTGGGAGGCTCTCCAATCGTTGTAATCGGTGCATGCAATCTGGATGACAAGGAAAACGAGAATGGAATTGTTGAGGTGTGCCAGATCTGTACTACAGTTTTGATGTCGTACTCATTGTATATTATCTCTATTAGAAGATATGCTGCCTGTTGAATTTGGGGCTGAGCTTGTATGACGTATACTCGGTCTCTGAGAAACCACTCACCACAGTCAGGCAGTTTTCACCCAAAACTTAGCGGCAGTGGATGCGCACTCACAAATGGTGAACACATCGCTTTGCCTCCGGACCAAAATTTACACTTTCTCAACATTTCTGGCGTACTGAAAATATGAGCTTGAGCTGAAACACA